GGGGAAAAAAGGAGAATCATTTGTAACAAAAATTAATCAATAAAAAAAATGAATAGATTTATATAAATCTAAATTTATAATTAATAAATATAATTAATGATAAAGTTAGCTAAAGGTTCAAAATACGGGTCATCATGACTCCATTCGTGAAGAAATTTTAACGGGTAATGTTTTTCAGAGCCATATCACTTTAGTTATTTTTTTTAAATTAGGAATATTTCCAAATACACTTTATGGTCTTAAAAGTGAATTTTTGGTTAATGCGAGCCATTTGGCAATTCTTTGATCCTGGATTTCCCCACATTTCTGTTTGTTATACTACAATTAGAAATTATCTTATGAAACAAATGAAACATAATAAGACTTTCATTTGAAATATAACATAATTAAGAAAAACAAAACTCGAGCCAAAGTAGCAAATGTTAAAATGAAGTAAAAGCAGCATTTACCCCTGGGAGGACTAGAACTAGTAGCAAGCAGGCGCGCGGGCTGATGGTGGTCCCTTCATCATTGCTGTGAGTTTATGAATATTCACCAGGCTGTATCCTTAAGATATGTACCCTTTACCATATGTAAACAATACTTCAATTAAAATGAAAACAAAAATTAAATAAAACCAGAAATCCATGAAATTTTAGTTAAGGAGGCTACTGAATATGGGAGCTTCTCTATGACTTTTCAGTTCAAACTGTGTCCACCTCGTACACCAAGAAGGTCTGTGGCAAGGGGATCCCTAACTCTCCCATGTCTCTAGCTTTGTGATCAGGCTCCATTCTTTGGTTAATTAGTTGCTTTAAATGTCAAGTTGAAAAATGTGTAACTTGGTCTCTAAGTGAAACATGGAAAAATACCCCCCAACAAAACAATGCCAAATCATTCCCAAATCATGCTATCTTGCTTCAAATTGAGCCCCAAATCCATCAACATGTATTAATAGAATACCTACTGTGTATAAGTGTCACGATGAATACACAGGAGGAGACAAAGGAGCCAGACCACATAAGTCTCTACTCTTTAATTGTACAGACAAAACATACACAAATGAATAGACAATACTTTTCCTAGATGATATGTAATAAGTACCAAATCCTATGCAGTAATAGGCGTTCTGTGTGCTGGGGAGGTCGGGCACACTAATTACTTATAAATTGTACATACACACAATAAAATTAAAGTGGCTGGTGAGATTTGTGTTGGATTTATAGAAAAATAAGAATAGGTAACATTGTGGTCTGTTATGGGCAATATTTAGCTATGAACCTTTTTGACACAGTTATAAAATAAGGGTACACTGTCATTGAAGAGCATATGTAGAAAGCACAGTTCTAGATAAAATTTTAAAATAATAGTAAAATTCTTTTAAGTATACATTCATAAGTATGTTGCTGTGGCTTAAAAATAAGAATGAATGAAATACATTCATAAGTATGTTGCTGTATCATTTATTAATAATTCTGTACATTTTAAAAACAATTTAACAAGCTATTTGAAAATGCTAAGACTCCAAAACAGCAACAAAACCTTAGAAAATTTACTTTCAAAGAACAGTGAAACCTATATAATAAAAAACCATGACTTATTGGGAAATTAAATACAATATTTAATAGAGATATTAAACATTCTTAAATATATAAATTAAACAGTGTTACAATTCATTTCCTTCTTCAGTTTTAAATTCCAACAAAAATATTAATGGTCCCAAAATGTATATAAAAAATTAATAAATAAGAACATAAGTAAACACTTTGTAAATAAAAGGGAAAACCAAAGGTTTTTGAGTCCCCCTGGAAACAAATCAGAACAACTAGAATGGAAACAAAAAAAATGAGGAAAGCTCTATAGATTCAACCTGCAGAGAATTTTCTCACTTCCAGAAGAAGGACCCTACCAAATAACAACAAAATCAGAGAATTTCAAACAACATTCTTGGGTATATACATTAATTTTGGAGTAGTACTAAACAAAATAAATTTTCCTTGCACAAAAGGACAGTGTCTATAACAACATTCCAATTGATTTAATTGACAATGAATAGCATGTATTACCTGTCACTAAGGCTCTCATCTTCAAACTTTCCATCTCGGATCTATGAATGTGATGAGTATATAGAGAATACAGAGTATATAGAGATATATACATACTATGTACAATATATACATATGATATACTATATATCTATCTACATATATACTATATACTATACTTATACACTATGTACAGGGGTGGACGAAAGTTGGTTTATAGTTGTGAGTACACGAAACACAGAGTTTATCCTTGTATTATTATTTATTGTATTATTTTCTATATGAACAACTGCAACCCTGCTTTTGCCCACCCCTGTATACTATATTAAAGGTTTATAAAAACTGGAGGCAAAACATGATGACAACAGTGATTACATCTGGACTGTGAAAACTGGGTAAATTTTTATTCATTTGGTTAGAATTTTTTGTTATTCTCTAAGGTTTGTAAAAACTACAAATTATTTGGGGAAATGTTATCAGTATATAATTTTGGTGCCGTAAAAACACAACTATATAAAAACACACACATGGGAGGAGTTTTAAAATGCTAATAGAGGATATTTTGGGGAAGTAAAACTCAAGGAGTTACTCATTTATTACTCTATTCTTTTCTTAAACCTGCTGAGCCCATATCCCCTTTGCAATGGTGAAGTTCAGGTTCATTTTTAAAATGAATATGTGGAGATGGGAATACTAGCACAGAAGGTTGAAGATGATTGAGGCATCCTGATCCTACTAGACACTGAAACTCATGACATTACAAAATTACTTACAATATTTATTTTAATTCAGATAAACAGAATATTAAAACAATAAAAAAGAGTCTCCGAATACATTCAACTATGTATGAGGAACTTAATACAGTAAGCTTTCCATCGCAAACAAGTTAAAAAGTATCATCTAATAAATTTGGTTGCGGTAATTAGCAGCAGTTTGGAAGGAAAAAATAGAAGAAAGGGGAAGTTAAAGCGGGTATGACGATCTATCCAAGTAAATGCGAGAAGGGTTCATGAGTTAAGTAGCAAACTAAAACACTGAATTATAAAAAAGTCAAAACATCAGAGAATAGATTATACTAAGAGATAATGAACAAATATACTTTTATCTTTGATGTATGAGAGAAAATCGAAAGAGAGTTTATCACATTAAAATATACAGATGCAAAATCTCTGTACAAGTTTTTAAAAGCATCAAAATATTGTGAAAATATTTACATCAAAATGTTGATACATAATGAATATGTCTAATAGAGTTTGTTCAAAATTATAAAAATAGGAGAGAAAAATGAGAGAGTTATAAATAAAAATCAGCAAAAGATAAAATTAGAAGTTATCTAACTATGCGGAAAGAAGTTAATTCTTACTTGTGAACAGGCAACAAATTAAATTTGAGATACTGTTTTATAGATACTAAACTAGCCAAAATAAATTTTAAAAAATAAGATACTGTAAGACTGTGGAGAACTTGTACATTACATGTTAACTGCATTTATAACTCATTTTGAAAGCAGTATGGCAAAAGGTAACAAGGGTGATACAGATGTTCATCCTCTCTAGCTCAGACATTACTTGTATGGAATTTATACTGAGCATATAGTTTCCCATAAACAAAAGAGATCTGCAAAAAAATTGTTGGCGTATTCCATTACAGTGGGAAAAAATGGGAATGGTTATGTTAAATAACTGTATGATGAATAAGATAATATAGATGTGTGAGAATCATTCAGCAATAAGGACAATGCTTAATATATAAAGATAAGTGAACAATAAAAACATACCATAGCATAAATGCTGTTTTTTTCAATTAGGTAGAAAATATAAATGACAAAATGCAAAATATAAAAATAATTGATGTGTCAAAGTATAGTATAAATATGAGTGTTTCCTAGTTTTAAAATATTTAAAGCCAACTGTTTCTGATAATTGGCACAAAGTTATGATAACCAGATAAAAAATATGGTTTTACAAAATAAAAATATTTTTTATGACTAAGGCATTTAGTGAAAAATCAGTTTACAGTCAGAGCATCTGTTGTGTGTGTGTGTATCTGATAGCAGAACACCTCGTCTCTATGTCTCTCACACAATTTTCTATAGAAGCACAAATATATATCAATGATTACACACGTTCTGTTTACCTCACAGCCACTGTGCAGATTAAAGGAAACAGGAGGTGTGTCAATACTTACCCTGGTACATTCCTGCCTGGCATATTCTGGGTGCTCAAAAAATGTTTTCCAATATAAAGTGGAATAATGCTAAGGATCTGTTAAATTGTGATATTAGTAAATGAAATGCCAATGTTCTTCATCTGTAAAATGAAGGAACTAATATTGAGTATTTTAGGAGGGCCCACCAAATTTGAGGTTTCAGGAATCTTTCAAATTCTGTGGAACATGGAGAAAAGTATAAACCACAAGTATGTGGATCTCCTGGACGTGTATATATTAAAGAAAAGCTTTAAAATCAATGTGTGTGTATAAAATAAACTTTTTTTAAAGCAAAAAACAAACAAACTAAATAAAGCGGAAGCACACACCTGCTTTGATTTCACAGCATACAGTGCACCTTTAGGAAATGTTTGTCTTTAGCTGAATTGCTATGATCCAGGTAGATAAAAACCATTCATTCTACACTAACTCGTAGTGGTTTTTTTCTGGAGTGATGGACAATGCTTCTGACATAGGAGTAAACGATCTATTTGATGAGAAATATGTGCCCCTTTTTCCTCCCCTATATTTCAAGTATAGCACAATTACTTCTATGCACAAAGTCTGCTCATTGGAGGACAAAACGTGCTGTGCAGCCTATTAAACCTGCCAGTGCTCAGGCTTGCTGTAAAGTGGCATCTTGTTTAGAGGGTAAATGTCACAGTTTCTGAGTCATAGTCTTCTCTGGCTCCCCTAAACTGATGCTATCCTCCACGCCCGTGAAGACTGGGATCTCTGATTCCTAAAGGCTTCTGTGCCCCAACGTACCTGTTTCTTCTGGACCCTGAGTGGCACGCTTATTCCTGATGCTTTGACTGAAGTTGCTTTCTCCTGAAGCTGGTAGTGCAAAGATCCCCTAAGAGGAGAAAAACCCCAAGTTATGGCAAAGGCATCTGAGGAAGGAGAGGCAGCACTGTGGGAGGAACTGTGCCTAGGGCTTCAGCTACTGCAAACTTACTTTCAGGGCAGAGGTGTCAGCTGGAGCTTCCTGCACAGCTGCCCTGGGGGCTGCTGCTCCCGCCTGGGGAGGGCCTGGCAGCTGCTCAGCTTGGTGCTCCTGCAGTTCCTCCCGGAGGCTCTTCAGCTCCGCTTGCAGGGCAGCCACTCTGCTGAAGGACACCACCGTGAGGCAGCAGGACACCAGGGCCAGCAGCAAGGTCAAGGCCAGCAGCGTGGAGAACCGGACAGAGGGGCTTTCCTTCTGGGGGAGGATGGAGACACACTCCTTCAGTTTCATTTCTTCTCTTTTCTTAGGACAAGGAGAAAGGCGTGACTGCTTCCCTTCTGTGGAGTCATTCATTTCACTCCCTGAATTTTGAAGGTTCGGGTCTTTAGAATGAGTGACCACAGGGAATGGATCATTTCCTGTTATCTGTGTTTGTTGATGTCCTACATTGACCACATCAGCCAGCTTGGCTCTTGCCCTCAGGAGAATTCTCCTGAATATTCTTCTCCCTGCACTGCTGCATCTCTGCCCCTACGTAGATAGGTCTTCTGGCACTGCACTTCCAGTTGATTGCTCAATCATCTTCCTCATTTCACTTTCAGTTTTTGTAAGAATTTTAATGGCATATCCAAACATTCATACACAAGCGAGTCCCTCACATCTATTGATCTGATAGGACTTTGGGTGTGGATCAGCACACCTGAGAAAACTTGTAAGCAGCGCGGTGTTTAAGGAGCTCCCCCTTTGGCACTCTGAGAGAACCGGGTCTGCTCGGGCCACGTGCTGTGCAGGGAAGGGGAAACGCACATTAAAGTTCCTGCTAGTGTAATAAAAGTAATTAATGTGAAGGTCAGATAAGCTAAGTGCCCTAGCATTGAACTCTACTCAGCTGGAAAGTGATTTATTAACAGCCCTCCAGGAGAAAATAAAATAAAGTATCCTCCAAGGAGGCATGGAAGTCTGCTGGGAGTAGTCTCTTTATTATCATTGTTGCAGCAAAGTAATAAAAAGAATGTGACTAAAATTTGCAAACCTATTTAGATTAGATATGAAGAGGGTTCTTGACACGCAGGGGACACATTTTAAAGGAAAACCTGCGTCATCTTGTTCCTCCTGGGACTCACTGCTAGGGAGCCGTGCCCCAGGACAACTCGTCCTGAGGAGGTGCCCTGCTGTTCCCACTTCTGGAGCTTCAGGCACCCCTCAGTCTGACACTGTTTGAAGGAGAACTGGTCTTACGTCCAGCTCCAGATCCTCCAGTCCCACCATTAATTCCTCTTCCCCTAAAGCACCGTATATACTAGTCAACATTAGGTTGACTCTGCCCCAATGTAACACGTGCACAAAACGACTTGATTCAATCCAGGGTCGCTTTAGTTTCAAGTTTCTATTGTTGGACTTGGTGTTGTTCCAAGGACACCTATCTTGAGTTGTCTTCATAGCCACCTCCTGGGCATGCTTTGGTTTCTGGCTGCTTTGCCCCCCCCAGCACCTATATATCCTGTGAGGAGCTCCCGTCAGTGACTGAGTTACCGAGCCCTTGCCGAGGCCTGGTGAGGCCCGACTCCCCTGGTGCTCAGAGAGTGAGGCATAGCTCTAGCTCACCGCACATCTGTGTCATCTTCAGAAAGACAGCTGCAAAAGTAATTTAAGTATAGGTAAGTAAGGGCCCCACAGCGGGATGCAAATCCAGGCTCCATCCTTTACTCTCCTTGGGCAAAATGTGTAACCTCTCTGTGATTCAGTTTCCTCATCTGTTAAATGGGATGATAACTGTCCCTGAGGTTTGTTTTTTTTTTAATCCTCACCCGAGGACATTTTGTTCAGATAGAGTGGGAGGGAGAGAGAGAGAAACATCGACGTGAAAGGGACACATCGAGTGGTTGCCATCCACATGATCCCAACCAGGGCCGGGGACAAACTGCAACCGAGGTACGTGCCCTTATCGGGAACCAAACCCGGGTCTCTCTGGACTGCAGGCCGACGCTCCAACCACTGAGCCAAACCGGCCAGCGCTGCCCCTGAGATTTTTAGTGACGTTTACAGAAATATAGACCAACCTACATTTAAGATGCTTTCATTTTGCATTCATTTTTATGTTTCATTCATTCATTCCACGAAATATTTTTCATGACCAAGTCCCACAACAGACATCTTTGTGCATGTCTCCTTGTAACATCTGCAAGAGTGTCCCAAGCAAACACCACTGAAGAGTAAGCACAGCTTCATCTTTGCAGGTGTCACTGAGTTACCCACCCACGAGGTCCTGTTTCCTCACCGTCTCACTGAGTGTGATTTCATCAGACTTACTCATTTTTACCTACGAGGATTGTTATTTTTTCTTTTGTGTCCACAAGTTCCAAGACTTTTTAAAATGACTTTTAAAAACTTAAAAAATAAAGACTTAAAAAATTATTTTAATCATTACCTTGGTCCTTTAAATTAGCCGTTCTCTAATCTCTCAAATCTTCTACGAGCAACTACAAACTCGCTTGTGTCAGACATCACGTCTTTTGTCACAGTCCTTGTTTCCATGTCAATCAGGGTGACATGTACCAGATAATGTTCCAACTTTTAAAAAGCATTAGTTTGGGAATTACATTAAGCCTCTCTGACTGAAAGTAACTGAAACTCACTCAGGTTTAGTCTTACCTAAAAACGTAGAAATAAAAGGATCCAAGGCAGAGCTAGAATCAGTTACTCGCTTTCACTCGGGACACCCATAGCCACTGCTCTCTGGGACTCAACCTTCCTCCACTCGTGTTGCCACTTGTTGTAAAAGACTATAGTCTGTTCTGAAGAGAGAGGGGATAATTCATTGTCTTAGAGAACTCCCTCTGCCTTTGTTGCTCTGTTGGGCAGAGAACTTCACCGCCAACTATCTCAAGAGAGAGCCACTGACCAGCCAATGTGCAGGCCATTTTAAAACATGTAGCCCATCTTGCATCCAGCAGTGGGCAACCCTGAATAGAGAGAGAGCTAGTGTCTCTGCCACAGAAGGCAGCAAGAAGGCCTCCCCCGGCCCAGACGTAGGGCAAGCCGTCTCTGCCATCCGCACGTTCTCCACAATGATCACACAACTGGATTTCTCTGAAGACAGGTAGAAAACTTAGTGGCGTTCATCTGCTTTGGGATTTCTTACGAGAGGAACAAAAGGAAGTTATTATTCCATAAATTAAGGATCTGTTTCCTGTAGAGGAAATGATTTGACAGTTATTCAACTGAAATTCTGTTAGACAAATAGCATGTTTATATTCACTGAATAATGCACCAACCCACAAGTTTATTCAGGGAGGAAAAACTACCATACCTGAGCCACAGAGTTCTCTGTCAGTATTTTGCTACTTCGTACCCACTTATTTTTCTCAACTGGAATGTAAAACATTCTCCTGTAACATACCTATACAGAATTTAATTAACAAACTGAGATATCATTTGCATCCTTGTCCCATGTGTGTAAGGGTACATTTGAAAAGACTTTAAGTTATCCAAGGGACTAAATAATAAAACCATAGCATAAAACAAACATCCACTCTTTGAATGCTTGCTTCTTATATCGACAACTTCACCAATATTCAAGAAATTTAATAATGAACTTCTGGCTTAATAGTATTATGAAGAATAAGAAGTTTTGGGGAATCTCTCCCGTACCCCTTTCTTTGAGGAAAACAGTACCTTTCATAAGGATCTGGGTCACTCAAGCATGGACAAAATTTTCTAGATAAGCAGATATACCTAAAAATAGGTCTGGGTAAAAATGGTTTCTAAAGTACTCTAAGAATATGGAAAATAGTTTCTTATAAATAATTATTACATTTCAGAAAAAGATATGCTGTTTTCTGTTAGAAATAGATATGAAATCAGTGATTATTATAGTTATAGTGAAATTTAATTTGGACAGCTAAATGCTAAGCACCCTGTATAACTTAACTGTAATCATGTTTTTAAATTATACAACTCTGGTCATTTCTTTCTTTTTTTTTTTTTTTTTTGGTACATGCCACTAGCGGGAACTGAACCTAGGACTCTCTGGTGCGCAGGCCAATCCAACCACTGAGTCAAACCGGCCAGGACTCTGATCATTTCTTATACAAAAAATAATGTCAGTGACTGACATGGCTGATTTCTTAATAGTTTTATTAAAAAGAGAAGTGTGCATGCATTTACTGAAGCTTAACTTTTGTCACTGTTGGGGAAAAAATATACTTTGGTAAGAACTGTACTTTCATTCATGAATATGTCCTCAATTTGTTGTGTAACTGCTTTCAAATTTAATGCTCTTGAATATTAGTGTTTATTTAAGAATATTTTAAAGAAATTTTCAATTAGAGTGCAATGTAGTGTGTCATTCCTTATCTTCATAATATTTATATAAGAATATTTTCACTAGTATTAAGAAGGATATGTGTCAGTCAATGCGATCATCTACCTATTTCATATATATGATCACATTTTTCTAATTTACATAAACATACATATAGAATACACATTGACACACAAGGACATGCAAATAATACCTGGTCAGATTCAACCACCTCAAAAAGAGGAGAAATTACAAAGTAATTCTACCCATGCAGGAAATAATACTTATAAAATTTCCTTTACCTTTAAAAATTAATAAAGCTTTTTTTGGCATTTCTTTTTTTAAAATTGAATTTACTGGGGTGACACTGGTTAATAACATTATACAGGTTTCAGAGACACAATTCTATAATACATCATCTGTTTATTGTATTGTGTGTTTTTAATGATTTCTTTGAAATTTTGTTTATTGAATGTGAGTAGTAAAATGATGGGGGTTAGGAGTGTGGACTCTGAAGTCGTACATTTCTGTATACCCAATTTGTGTCAACATCTTCACAGATTATTTTCTGCCCCAAATCTAGAAACTCATTTTGTTTCAATATCTATCTTTGTGTGAAGCTGGCCAATGCATGCTTTAATCCTATTCACTGCAATGCAGTCCTGGTGGTCCCTCGACATGGCCACTTACAGCAGAGAGTAAATAAACGCGAGGTTTTAAACAACCAGATATTGTTGTTTTTCCTTTTTGAAAGAAGTGACTGAATTTATTCTGGGTCCACATAGAAAAGGCAGATAAATTAAACATGTCATTGTAAAATGGGGGCTCATTAAAAAGAGTTCATCATCTTTAAAGAAGAAAAAGAAACTCTTCTTCTTGCTCTGTCTCATGTCTACATAAAGCAATCTGGAATTGTGCTGTCTGTCCACCAACTGCTGTGAAGCCCAGCTGCCTGAGGGCAGGAGAGCAAGATCATAGAAAAAACATTACTATCACTACGGTGCTGTTGACTTTTCAACTCTTCATGTTCCCTTATTTGGGGACGACTTCTTTTCTGTTTCTTTTTTAATCCTCCCACACATGCCATGACTGGGAAATCGAACCTGCAGCCTTGGTTTGTGCCCTGACTAAGAATCAAACCCACAACCTTTTGGTGAATGGGATGACATGCCAATCAACTGAGCCATATGGCCATGGCTGGTTACTTCTTATACTGAGTAA